TATCATCAGGTCCCAGTCGCTCTTGAAGATATCGAGTAAATTGCTATCACGACTCCTCTCGGTCTGTTTGTGTTTCTACGAATTCCACTTGGATTACGGAATGCTGCTCAGACTTTCAAAAGGTTTATCGATAGCATAGTACCAGATTTCGATTTTGCTCACGTATATAGTGATGATCTGCTAATCGCATCATCAAATGTAGAAGAACATTATCAACACCTTACACTCTTATTTTAACGCCTTTCGGATAATGGAATAGTAGTTAACCCAGACAAATTAGGAATTCGCAAACTAAAAATAAAATTCTAACGTCACATCATTAGGCAAGAGGGAATTTTACAGTATGAAGGCAAAGGACATGTAATCATGGAGTGCAATGTACCGTCCTCACTCAAGGAACTGAAGGCTTTTCTTGGTTTAGTTAACTTCTACGGACGTTTTGTTCCTCATGCGTCAGGACAGTTAAGACCGATAACCGACTCACGTCGCGGTTATCCACTGAAATTAGGATTGAACGATGCCGCGCATACTGCATTTTCAGAGATCAAAAAATCTTTAACTCAAGCCACGCCCCTCATTCATCCTGATCTATCAGTCACGCTTAGTATAGCGGTTGATGCATCAGATTCCGCTTTATGAGGCGTGATACAACTGGACATCTCTGGAAGCTGGCAAACTCTCGAATTATTCTCACGACGGTAACGGAATGAATCGTCAGTTAATGATAATCGGATTGATTTGTTCACGTTGCTATTTAGAAAGTTTAAACGACTAGATATTGTGCCCATTATTTGGAAACATACATACAGTGAATGAAACAGTCATTTTGAGTAAATTGATGTTTGCGTGAAATTATAGAAAATGTCTGTCATACGTGATTCCGTTGATACAGCAGCTATTGAAAAAAAGGGAGCAACGAGGCAATTGTATACATATAACCAAAGCACTACTTAATCTGTCATGTTGAAGTAGACAATACAGTGGTGAGTCAGGAAAAAGTTCATACTGGCCACTAAAATTAAAGTAGATTATAACATTACAACCAACAAATAAAGGAAGGAAGAGTTGTGGAGTGTCAAGTAGATAGAAGATAAGTTGAAGAAAGAAGCCGGATTTAGTTACGTTGAAATCGAAATTTCAGTAAAATGAGTAAAGTTTGTGAAAAAACATTGATAATTAAATTTTTTCCAGCCCGTATTTTTTAAAAAAGCCAACCTGTAAATCATACTGTAAGCGCCTGAGTATGTTGCGCGTGTCTTGACAGAATAGCGACCTCAGCATAGTTTTGGAAACAGGAGCCTCAGAAGTAACAAGCTTATAGGAGCAATCTCAGTGGTACTGACTAGTCGCCTCATCAATCTAAAGAGCCGAAAGCAAATAAAATGTTCTGCTCCACAAACATGGGTGGTTTGAATACATCGCCTACACCATCATTGTTCGCAGATCAGTAACTCCACCCTCCCTCATCTTGTGTTATTAGGCTCATGTTAAATGATTAAAAGGAACTATTTTATGTTCTACTTGGTGCTCTATATCTCACATCCTGTTGAGAAACACTATTTTTGCAAGTTCCTTTCATAAGCTTGTCTGTCTGTCACAACTACTGAACTATTGGTTAGGCTTCAGTGCAATACAGCTAACGCTTATGAAGCTATAGGCATTTAGATGTAGTGGCGGAGATGTGCTTAACGAAGTAAGCAGGAAATTAAAAGATTACTATGGTTAAAATTGGGGCCTTAGATAAAATACACTAAGGGATCAATGGTAAGTCAATAGAGTGTAAATGAGAACAGTAAAACTGATAATACGCAATACGTAACTCACACAGATATTAATAAAAAAATATGGACAAAAGTCGGCTTCAAATGTAAAAAGAGCCTATAGAATTCTACAAGTCCAAATTGGACATTCACACTAACATGAATTCAAATCTTCCACGTAGGGTATATAGATGAATTTTCTACCCCAGCAATTCACTCCGTTTCCAATAGGTGCAGGTTGGTGCTCAACGTCCCAGATCCAAAACCAAAACATAATAATTCTGGGAGAAAATGGTCCAACTATTATTACGCCTTCCAAGTTCAATTTACCCTGGTGGGTATCCGTTTCTGGAAGAATAAGTGCTTCCAGTCCAAATTGCTACGGTATCAAATCCAAAAATGGCTGTAGCCATATTAAATATCAAATTTAAACAACATATGTACACTTCAGAAGCAAACATAAAAACTTCAATATAAGTACAAAATATAGAAATAATAACAGTATACAATGATAAAATCTCAAAATGGAATCGAATGGAGTACCAAAATGTCAACAGAAAGAGTCAGTCATATCATAACACAAATATATACATGGAGGGATTTTCCAAAAAACAAAACATTCAAAAAAGTTTCTACAGGGTATTCGTTGACTCAACATTAACAATAGCTATTTTCGTAATCTGCTGAAACCTGCTGTAGACCAATAATTTTTGGCATCCAAACATCGACGAAATTTTTTCAAAACGAAATATAGGACAGCGAGCAGCAAGAATATGGTAATACGCTTGGTATGTAAACAGGCTGCTTGTTCTAGTTTTGGTTTCGTACTCTGTAACTAAAAGAAATAGCTCAATGTACCACATACGTAATTCAGGAAAATGCGTACCAAGAACAATAGGATAACTCGAGGATCACAGTGATTTGTGAACTGAGAAAGCAGCGTAACTTTTAAGCCCGAAGTTTTTTCCTGCGTTCTGGTAAATAGTCAGAAAAGTTTGCACATAATCAGGACCATTTACTCATTAACTTACACCTGTAGAGACAAGCTAATTCAAACGATGTATATCACGAACACGAACAACAAATGGTAAAATGTACAGTGCCAAACAAAAAAGCAATTATCAGAAAAACTCTATTCATAGAGATCCAAAAATTACGACAAAAATTAACATACGACGACAGTTCCAAGCCTACAGATAGTTTGAAATTTTCTCTTGAACCTTAAATAGGATGATAAGCTAAACACATAGTCACCGTACAGAGTCACGTGTCGTATTTCTCTTCACATGATTTAGTTACCCAGCTTAAATAGACTATTTAACAAAGTTATTCAACTAGTGACTTTTATAGAAACTGACACAGCAAGAACGAAGCTAAAGTTTACGATAAAAACTAACGATGAATTCAGTAGTTTTCAGGCGTTGACAGAATAGATGAATATACGAACACATGAAAGCAATGCCAGCCTATGATAATGCAACTAACCCCATGCATTTCAAATACAGAGCGCCTGCATCTTACCAATGCATCACCACCACTCCACCTCGATGCAATCCTCAAAAATTGCGCATCACAGAGCGAATAGCCAGGTTTGTGCTGGGTTTTTCTCATTAGGATTCGTTGCAACTTGGAATGCCCTCCCAGAGGAGATGATCACAGACCCTTCAGTGGACAGCTTTAAGAAGAGACTTAATAATCACCTACTCACTTACGGATTATCATCTCCCTCTTGGACAACCGGTACCTGATGCATGTCTTGAGACCTGTTATTTGTTATTAATGCAAACTCCTCAGATCACTAAATTAATCTACCCCCATTAATATATCTGTTTCCTATCCCTTGCTTCACTTCGATCCTCTAATACAATCTTCACTACCAATTAATAAACTAAATTATCTATTTATTTAGTCAGTTCTTAAATCCTCTTCTCATTATCATTGGAATTCTCCCCTTATAATTCTCCACATTGCAACTAACTGATCTCCAGTCTAGTAATGTGACAGCTGCTGGTATCCAGAAACCCTACTGCCCAGAAACAAACGTTTTTATTTAAATCATGGGACGTAGAAACAACTAACTGCCAACTGACTAGAATTAGACAGTCGAATGGCTAGACCACCATTCTTTGGACACTGTCAAACACTTTGAACCGTATCGAAAGAACAAGAATTGAGCTCAAACAACGATTCTGTTTATACTAGCTCATGAAAAAGATATTGGAAATTGGATAAGGCCGTTCAGGGTCGTGGAAAGGAGAGCGCGGTCATTAAGGCCGTTGGTATAGTGATAATCCTACTGCATATCGCTACTTTCCTCATTAAATGTCAGTGAATTCTATCGACTCATCAACCTACTTTTGCCTCTTATACTTCTTTCTTCCAGCTTTCGCACAACCATACTGGCCTATCGCTCAATGTAACTTCATGATTTATGCTGAAGGCTAGACATTTTTCTCTGCTTTATTGTATGTGGCATAAGATATCTCCTGAAGCCGGTGATCTGTCACAAATCAGAGAGGTTATCGTTTCATTAAATACTTGTGATGTTTACTGAAGCAGACAAATTGTTCCATTCTCCCAACTTTTGGGGAGAAACGCCGGACGATGAGAAATTTTTAGGGTTCTAGTTGCATTTCTATATGGCTTGCTGTTAGAACTCCTCTTATACTGATCAAATCACACCAAATTTGTGATATTGGATTTCTATCACAAGATATATAACAATTGAGTTATCAAATGTCGCATAAAACTTACAAAGCAGCATGCTTGCTAATATTTTTTTAAATTGTGTAAAAAGTACTTCATAAAGACAGGCCAATCATGGATCTAACACGTGAGAAGCATTTTTAAGATAAAAGCAAGCTTCCAAACTATCGCTTATGACAGAAACACTTCGTACCTGTTATACAAAGTGAGCGAGACAGGTTCCTGGTATGAATTATCGAAATGCGTTACATCTTAGTCCTACAGTGAACTCTACATTATCAGTTTAACGGTCAAGTTATGTTATCCATCGTATTGTCAGTGTGACAGCAACAGTTAAGACATGTCTTTAGTTTCCAGTAATAAGGGTAATAACGTCTGATAAATTCAGAAGTAAAAAAGAAGAGTTACTAGCTGCTAAAAGTGTCTAAAGACGTTTTTCAACAGCTAGATTGTGAATCAAATCACAATATACATATTCATGTACATAATTCTTTTTTTCAGATACATTTCCATCCTATAGTCCACTGTATCAAAATGACAGTCCCAGAACCAAGTAGTTCCAGGAAACACGAGCGAAAGAAAACAAATTTCAAAGGTATAAAACAGGTCTTAAATGCGGAATCTCAAGTAAGACTCATAATCAGTATTTTAAATTTGGTTTAGTGATGTGTTTCCCTTCCTTTATGAAAATATTCACTACGAAGTTATACCTGCTTCTCATGGGGGATATAATGACTTAAAATAAAAAGCACTTGATTGACGAAATGAAGTAGTTACACTCTAACTTGTCAGGATAAAAAAACTAGATTGATGAAAACACAGTAATAAGAAGGATAATAAGAAAAAACCTTGACTACACCACTTCAAATATTAAATTCCAGTCTACACTACCAGGGTATTTTCAGTGCAAATTCAAACTTCTCAAATCTTATGTTCGGGGCTTCAAAAAGCCAAAGCAGTCCCTAGACCGCGTGGGCGCAGAATTACGGTGACTGAATTTAAGCTAATTATCTGACCCATTTGACCAAATGTCTACCAATCAAAGATAAACATTTGTCAGTCTTATTAAATCGTAACTTCATCAGAATTCGTTTGCACTGGACTGTATTTACCATGTAAGGTAATGTGTTACCTTGGTATGCCGCAGTGAGCTGATAAACCGATTACCATTACATTGAACCATTCGTGTTTATTTGCTGCCGGACTCAAGGATTATCACTATTGTGATTAACCGAATTTATGGTCAGACATAGCACTAACATTAGGTACTTTTGCCTGCTTGCAGGTATTATTTAAGCCTCTATCCGATTGTAGCACAACCACGTAGTCAGAGTAGAAGGTATTCGTATGTTACTGGTTTTCGATCATAGGTATCTCCGAAGCATCGCTCGTGTATTCTGGGACAACCGAGTAAGCAATACTGTTGTTAGAAAACGGGTCCTAAGTAAGGATGGCAGGTTAATAGATTAAGTATTAAAACTGTTGCAACGCTTGCTTGAATAATTCCCGGCTAATTCCTATTGCTTAGTATTCTCTGACCACAATACACTGGACTATTTCCAAAGAATCAAGAACACGGTGGAACAGGAAAAGATTATATTCCAAATAGCAAGGCTAAATGGAATAAGAAGCCAAAGGTTATGGCGAAGGCAAAATAGATACAACGTTAGTTTCTTTATAGCATTTACATGAGACGCTTCTGGATAGAAATTCACGTGATCGACTGGATTACATTTAGCCAATCAGCATGCAGCTAACAATACGAGAGTTTTATACCCTGTTCTCCAAGAATCGATCAAGCGCTGATTGAATGGGAAATTGGCCAACCAGCGCGCAGCAACGTAGTCATGCTTTAATTCCATCTATGTCCCACTAACAGAAACTTCGTAAGTTGGGGTGGTTGGGAAATGTGTTGCGTATGCTTAACCACCGACTGCCTCGTCGAGCTATATTTTGCGATGTAGGGATAGGCTGAGGGAAGCTAGGGGTGGCCAAACCAAAACATGACAAAAATCCATGAAGTCACTGACAAGTGGACAGAATCATGTTGGTAGGTGTCGACTACCTAGTTGGGGTCCACGAGATAATAGTAATCGATGGTTAGAGGCCTTGAATGACATGGCCCAAATTTGTTTGCAGTGGCGCAGGTGCATCCACTTTTTGTGTTCTATGAAACTAATTTTCTGAATTCCTTATCACCTCTTTCTTTCCTTTTTTAAATTTATCTCACTAAATTATTCGTCATGAATAATATCTTCAAACCCGAATCTTCTCTATTACTACTAATACTTCTACTATCTCTACCACTACGGTATTTGAACTGATAACTGCGTCTGTGATAATGTGCCAACTTGAACTGAAGTATATCCGTACGTAGTTATATGCTGTTAAATCTAGTAGTCTTCAGATTAATATTCATCAATTTTTATTTGCAGATAAGCTACTCGCCGGATGCCGTTCTTTATCATCATCTGAGTGCACCTCCACGAATTTGTCCACCTATGAAAGTTTCCGATTTAAGTGGGATACCAACTACATATACAGACCCATCGACCAAACTAAATTATGCAACTTCTTCTGAGTTCCGAAGAATACGCTATTTACCTCAATATGTTGTTAACGGGTACTTGGCTTTGAGAGGAGTATCCAATATTTAATAATAACAATATACTATTACTTTTTATTTCAGAAAGTATCTATTTTTTGTTTGTGTACATGGTATCTTTCATTCAACGGCAATAGATGCTCCAGCCTCTTCTAATGCTTTCTTTATTTGTTCAGCCTCGTCCTTGCTCACGTCAGTCTTTATATTGGCAGGTGCACCCTATAAGTAATATAATTAAAGTTATCAAATTATTGATATCTGTGGGATAACAGTACGGAAATTTAACACGTTATTAGGCATATTTAAGAAAACAAGATATCATTTTTAATATGCAATAAAATTAAGGTGCGTGCTCTCAAATCTAACTTTTTCTAGTTTGTTAGTTTATAACAACACTCGACACAATATAGATAGGTACTTTTCGTTGGGGGCTAAGTCATTAGATAAATGTGCCAGATCGACTGACAACGCAGTTGATGAATTTGTCACACAGGACTAGTAACCTCGTGTCCCTGCATGATTTACTGGCTACGACGATGGAATATTAAACTGACAGACAAAGAAACTGGATTAACATATGTATAAATGTCCAACCCCTGTACGGAATTGCTGTTGGAAATTTTAGACGATGTAATTCAAAGTCGTTCAAATATATGCATCCATTCTAGCTATATGCAGGTCCTGAACAAACCTGTCCCATTCTTTCAAAATCATATGTATACCTTTCCACTAGTGTTGTTAATCTTATTTTCACCCGAATTAATACATCGTAAATGATTGTCCAACTAAACTAAAGTATACAAAAAAATACAGACCTAAAAATGTCATTTCTTTATCCCGTCACATCGGTTGGTTATAAGAAAAGACGCCTAACCACAGTTGCTACCTTGACATGGTGATCGGGCTTGCCTATTATGATGACCCAATCGAGCCATATTAGCTGGAACATATGTTCTTTCATGTCCTAACATGCCAGGCAGGTCGATTGGAAAACGGTAACACTAAAAGCAGCGACTGAGGGCAGAGTTGAACTGTTGAGACGTATGACAGCAGTAAGGTGTTTCCCTTGTGCAACCAGCACCTGCAACGATGCTGTTTTCTCACAGACCCATAGGAGACATACATGGGATTATGAGCTGATAAACATTTTTGCTAGTTCATACATAGTCGGAAAGTTAGGTACAACGTAAGACTTCGTACGCATGTACACCAGTTCAAGTTGCCAAACCACATTATCACAGACGCCATTGTCAGTTTATATCCCATAGTGGTAGAGGTAGTAGAAGTATGAGCAGTAATCGGAGATTAGGGTTCGAGGATATTATTCAAGAAGCATAATCTAGTGAAATAAACTTAAAAAGATACAGGTCATGAGGAACTCTGAAGGTTAGGATTTGAGTGAACACAAAGAATGTATGCACGTGTGCCATAGCAAACGGTTTTGAGCCATACTATTCAGGGTCTCTAAACATCGATTACTATCACCTCCCGGGCCCCAACCAGGTAATCTACATCTACCAACATGGATCAGTTTACTTGTCTGTGACTTCATGGATTTGCGCCATGTTTTTGTCTGACCGTACCTAGCTTTCTTTCAACCTACTTCTACACCATACAACATCGCTCGTCGGGGCAATTTGTGGTTCAGCATACGTAACACGTCCCAACCATCTCAACTGATAAAGATCCAGTACTTTATAAACTGATCTGCCATCCCTACATAGTACTCGTTTCCTAACAACAGCATTGCTTACTTGGATGTCCCGGGATACACGGGGAATACTCCGAAGACACCTATGATTGAAGACAAGCAACCTACAAATGTCCTCTACTCTCACTGGCTACGTTTCACATTCGTATACTAGGACGGGGCGAACCGTTGCACAGTACACTCGTCCTTTGGTTACCAAATGGATATCTCGCCTACGCCATAAGTGACGCAAGTTGGCGAAAGCCAATCGGGCTTTCTGTATCAGTGCTGAGATTTCGTCAGTCACCAGGCCATCAGCACTGATGAGACTCCCCAGATAAGTGAAGCGGTCAACACGCCCAACCGCTTCACTTCCTGTCACTGGTTCAGGTGCCGTCGCAAGCCAATCCAGAAGCAACATTTTGCATTTCGAGGGGCAGAGTCGCATCTCGAACATGCTGCCATTGTTGCTTAGGGTAGTCAGAAGACTCGGCATTTTTTCAGTGTCTTCACCAAGTAGAACTGTGTCATCGGCATATTCTAAGTCAACAAGTAAATCTCCCGGTAATAGTTTAACGGCGTGTCCCTATCTTTACGAGTCTTTACTGTCTCATTTAGTCGGACAGCGCATAAGCGACCGTCTACTGGGATCCAGTCTGAGAGACCTAATCCTGCGCTGAAACACAATGCTATACCTACACCCGCGACACCATGGGAAGCAGCATCACCGCTTCCAGATACACAGAGCGTAAACGGAGTTGGCTGTTTGTCTGGACAAGGTGAAATCAAAGTAATAACTGTACTTTAATCCTGTATCCCGACTGAAGCTGCTACCTTGATGTGATGGTCGGGCTTGCCTATCGATGGCGCGGGATTCTAGAATTTGCTAAGAAGCCTGTTGCCCTATTTGGCACAAGGTCCGGATATTAAAAACCCCTATATGTAGTTTAGAGTGTGGTTGTTTCAGAAGACCAGGAATAACGTTTCGTGTACACGAATTGTTTGCATCAGGTGATAAAGGAATATGAGGTTTTACCTTGCAAGTAAGAAGATAGTTATTGAGAGTTACAGGAAGGATTTGTTTGTGACTAATTTGGTCTCATATGCTGCTACGAATATGATGGCGCATGTCACTTCCCGCCTGCCCACACCTGAAAAGGAAATCAGGTTAGTTTTGGTCTCAGAGGCGGAGCGTGCGAGCAGAACCTAAGGGACAACTGCTTAAGGCCAGTCACACACTGCATTTTCATGAGTTTTTGATGTTTTAGCTCCGCTTTTGTTTAACAGACCATACCGCTGGACACGGAAATCCGTTACGTAAGCTGAGGTGTGAAATTTTCAGGATCGTACTTTCCTAACCCCTTCCTTCCTTGCGAGAATGCAGCATCGCTGCAGATGTTGGTTGTCCGAGGGAAACCACCTTGATGTTGTCTCACGCGTCCACAGTCAGCAGTACGACTTTGTCCTCAGACCTTTAGTTGCTGCTTTTAGTCTCACCGTTCTCCAATCGACGTGCCTGTTATGGTGGAACCTAGGGGAACATATGTCCCAAACAATATGGCTCGATTGGTTCTATGGGCAAGCCCGACCACGTCGAGGTAACAGCTACGGTCGGCTCTGGAAATTAAATGTTTGTATGCTGTGGTAAGAGAGTAACTACACAGGGGTTTTCTTCTATAGTTATTTTTTTTTAATTTGTTTGTTTTGATCATATATCTATCTTACACCACTTACATATTTCACAACTAGGTAAGTAGGTGTTTTGTCAAGAATTTCTTGCTATGAATTACAAAAACTACTAATTCTTTTTATTCGAGATTCCACTACGTCGTTGCATTCTCAACTTACAGTCGCTAACTTGAACTTACTTCTACAAACTTTTTGGCTTGAACGAGATTCATCTCCGGAATAACTTGTTTGATCTCTTTGATAAGCTGGATTTTCTTTGCAGGATCAAATTTCACAAGCTTTACTGAGAATGACATTTTGGTCGGTGTTTGCTGTTCTTCATGCTCTTCAGATGGTTGGTTTGTTGGCGCTTGAACCATCATAGGCATCATAGAGCCGGGATTCTACACAAAAGAAAAAGGGGTAAAATAATGTGGGCACCGATGGGGTTGCTCAGGACGGCATCAAGACTTCCTAATCAAGCCGCCTAGCTCAAGAAGCACAAAAACGATGGAATAGCTTGACCATACTTACAGTAAGGGTAATTACAAAAAATTAGACAGGGTCTAAGTGACTTACAAGTAGATAAAATAGAGGTAGTTTAGCGAATAAAACTATCTTCAACGGTTTCTTTTACCTAAGCTGTAAAATCGTATTTATTAGTTAATTTAGCCTTTCTGGTAGCAAAGGGCATACTGTGCTTGGAGAAAAGTATCCTACTGGTGTGCCACAAGGAGCTATTTTTCTTTTCTCATTTTTTCTGCACGGTCTGACATGTACAAAAGATGCCGTTGTTAAATATGCGGATGATTTTAATTTATGTACGATAATTCCTTTTGTTTTTAGTCTCGCTTTAAGTGGCCGAGTTTTTAGTGCTCACTAAATGATGGTCTATTATTTGTGGTCTTGCAACTACTTTTTCAAAACGTCAAATCGTTAACTGTAAGCTGAAGTATAAAAATCATATAAACACTTCTGGAATTACATGAAATTTGTACTGTTGAAGATTCTGCAGTAAAAACTGCCAAATATCATTTACGTTGGTGCGAATTTCCTTTCTCTCTTGGTTTATTTCACATGTGGCTGGAGTTAAAGTTAGTTCTTCGTCTGACTTATTATTCAACGAGGTCACATGATTTCGGCATTACTGAACACTTACTTTTATGACCCAAATTCTTGTATACTACCTATTGTCCCTTACTGTTCCCCACTATTCTTGCAAACGAACGTTTTGCTGTATTTCAAGCTGCGCTGAAGGAAGCCAGTTATACGTAACGTACAATCAAGCACATGTGCGCATTGTTTTAAGTGCCAAAACGAATCCCAGAGCAATACAGGTAGTATCAGTATTAATAGTAATATAAAAGATAAGACATCCAAGATACCATTCGGGAAAAAAGTATTAGATAGTGCAGTGATGAAAGAAAATTTATGAGGAACTTGGAAGTCTAAAGGAAGGCAAAGAGTGAATGCAAGTGCACTTTCGCGAACAACTTTGGGCCACGTCACCTAAAGTTTCTAACCGTTAGATACAATCACACGGCATCCAAATAGATAGTATGGACTAACCTACATAGCTATTCAATAGTCGCTATTTTCACGAACTGATGTCTCATTTGATTACCCCTATCTGGAAGCAGTTAAAAAGGTGTATGGTGAATCGCTTGATGTCAATAATGTGGCTGTGGACAGATATTTGAAACCCCCCAAACAACTAACCAGTGGTATTTTGGCAGGCAAACACTATCCACGTCATATTCACCCCTCCCTGTCCATCTTCCAGTAAAATGGCACACATATACACTAGAACCCAAGTGAAAGTATAATAACTCTACAATACCCTATATACTATATTTGTAACGCTATGAATAGGTTGTAAGAGTGGTTCTAACCAAAAACTTATGATCTTGGACACATTGAAGTTTCGTACTTTGATTTATATGCCCATTAGTATACAGGAGGGATTAACTCAATCTAGTTTAAGGCCTTGACTACTTGGTTGTTATTGCTTTGTTGTTCTTCCCTTTACATCACAAGTGTATAGATTCCTATTTTGTAAAAAATACTAACTTTGGTTCTATAAAATTTTAGTTATTTTACATACACACGTACGCAGAAATATTTGATTTTCTTGCTATAAAAACCGTTAGAGAAACTTCTAGTAATAGTGTAGACTGAGAACTTCATGTTGTATTAAATGTATAACATTGAATAACACTTCGTAATAGTATTAATACTGTTTCCGCTTTTATCATTATCAGGGACTGTGTATGTATTATTTAGGTCTGTAACTAACAATGACTTGTCTTCTAGAATGGTGAGGGTACTGATATGGGTAACCAAGAAATTAAATACTTCCCAATGATAACAGCATTGTAAACAAAACTCCGAAAGTGATTAGCACTGAAGAGTTCGTCAAGTCATTGAGATCTTTTTCCCTACACGAACTACGGTCAGTACCATAATTCCAACAGAGATCCAAAACACAAATCTTAAATAAGCTACATGAACTACTGGAAATAGTTAACCAAATTTGAAAATCAGGCTTACTCAAATGTATGAATATACAAAAAATGCGTGGCAAGATGTTAGAACACAGTGAATCAAAGTACAATTTCTGGTGCACAGTTTTTGGCATGTGTGATGCATGAGAAATAACATGAACAACCAATTTCTTAAGTTCTATTTGATGGTTTTAATCCGTTAAATAAAAATATAGTGGGGGGGGGGTTAAAATGAACTTAACAACGTAACAAATATCTACTCCATATCCACGAAATGAACACATAGTTTTCACCGTCACAATTCTAAATACGATAGGACATATATATGAAAAAGATTGAATAAAGTTAAATTAGTACAAGTTATTTAAAACCAGGATGTTTTTGAAGGTGTATGTAGAAAAAAGAGCTGAAACAATGTTAGTTAATTGGTCCAGTTCTGAATGTGACAACAGACAAACAGAAACTATCACCAATGAAATTGTTAAATTTTCGGGGTTATGCAACTTAGATGTCGAATGCGTTACTTAAATAATATAAAAGTAACTTTTAATGGGTACTAATAAAAAGCCATCAAGTTAGACACGGCAACCTACAATCTGTACACAGTGACAAGCTTTGAGATTACTTTAAGCGGTTTCTTGGAGAGATGTATTATGATCGACTATGTCAACGGGAATTTACTTTTTAGACAGATGGATGCAGCAGTATGTCTAGTGAGAAGACAGTTATTACGTTACTCCAATATGTAATATAACAATTTTACCAACTTGCTCACCTTAATGTTCAACCTTTTCTGCAACAATTCTGATAGATCTGCTACTTCCAATAATGTTAAGGAACTGATGCGATCTACAATCTCATGTATGTGTTTTGGATATTCTTTATTATCATCAAAAGAAGGAGGTACTAAATCTTCGCCTGCCCTCGATTTCGTTGCCACTTGCGAATATGATTTTGAGAGGCCATAGTAAAATGAACAGTGTGAGATGGTTCTACTAAGTTTGTATAGGTTCATAGCCGAAAACATGAGAACCATCACATGTATTTGGCGCGGTACCCACGACTATCAACCTGCCCGCCTAACATACATGGTGTAATATAGTCTGGAAAAGGCAAACAGAGATTCTGTAGTGTGTTCTCAGACATTTTAAGCATGTTTACTAGATTATTTATGAGGTTAGAACATGCAGGTAAATTTTTAAAATTAAATATCTTGCACTTCCGTCTTGAAACTCAGGTCATTCTAGTTTAACAGTACATACTATGGCTTCCACGAAGGTAATGTGAGCCGCCTATGTGCGCATATCTTCACAGTAGTTGGAGTATTACCTACAGCGTACACCTTTTATGTTTAATAGTTAAGTTTCTGAACCTTATAAAACCTTTCAAAAAATCAACCTTGAACCCAGAGAACTAAGGTTAGAGCAACCACTGCATAATATGCAATTAAGAAAGAATTGTTAGCACAAATTTCCCCACATATCAGATGAAATTCGGCAATGCAGTTATGACAAAAATCCTGGAAATTTATTTTTTCCGTGCTTGGCGAATTGGCACAAGTGGGCTTTGTCCGACGCCGCTGAAGGAAGTGCTGCGTCTACCAACCGGACTCGGTTTATCATCCGGACACCCAGCATCGATGGGGCGACCATTGTAGATTACCTGCAACCGAATATTGTCAGGTCACAACGCGCGTTCAGGGTCACTTCACGTATGATGGAAAAATAGGGGCCTGACTACTTAGACTTATTCCTTCATATTAGATCATCTGTAACTCAGGTATCTAGATAGGTTAACAAGAACAAATCAACAGTACGGTAATCATGAACAACTTACTATTATGACAGAGGATATTCAAAAAGCCGGAAAGTTTATTAATACAGAAACAATATGTTTGAATTTATAGACGATGTTTCTGATGGCATTTATTATCATTCTGTTTGTGTATTAACGTTACTTTTGTACAGTTATGCTCGGATTTCTTTCAAACATAACTGTTCAATTAAGCTTATACCAGGATTTCTTAGCAGAGAGTTAAACTGATTCTCGATTACGAACGTTAGTGAGAGAGAGTCAGCAAAAGTAAGTGGTCAAAGCTACTGATTAGCTATATCAGTCCAGATCGAATAGAATGCTGTGCCGTGCTGACTTGCCTGGAATGAGGTTATCTCCTCATCGTCATGTTCGCTAGTCATATATCCCATCAAATCGCTTTCATTGAATTGCTTGTCATCAGAGAATCTTGCGAATAACTACGAAATGGATTATCGATCTTTGACAAAGGAATATACAACTAAATAATGGAAAAGAAGCTAAGTTATGGAAGTAAGATAATTATGTTTTAACAGTGAAAGTATATTATTCGAATACGAAGCATCCAATATACAAAGCATCACTTTAGATATTACACAGCTCGTCGTTAATGCTTTATAGACGCTGACACTAATGGCAAACGTAGGCATTTAAACGCCCTCAGATCCATTCATGATCTTCTCGTGACTGGTCGCATTTGTCACACTCTTTACTCTGCAAAGGTATTATGAGAAGCGAACGAGGAGCTTTTGTTCAGAAGAGCAATAAAACACTTGAGTTTTATATAAATGCGATTGTAATTTGCTCAGCCGGTGTTATTCTTGTAAAAATGTTTCCAAATAATGCACACTGAATCCACTGGAACCTGCTTCGTCATAATGGGTTATCTTTTACCCCTAATGTAGCTGCCGATCCGCACTCTCCAGCGAACTCAAAAAATAGAGTGACCTTCAGATAGGTATTGTTTACAGTTCGTTAGTACTGAACACTTAACAACGTTGACAACAGTTCGATAGTGCTTAGAAAATGACGTTAAACTTCATTTAGTTTGCCAAAACATGATTGGTTGTAGTTTGTAACTAAAGTCTTGTAAATGAATTTCTACAGTGGTCGTTCCAATGGGTTCCAACAGGTGCACTCCTGTACGATTCTCCCAGTCCCAGGTCCCAACAAATCAAAAAGGACAAAAATTCTAGGAGAAAGCGTCTTATTTAAATAAAACATGGAAATACAAAGCATTACCTGGAAATAATGCCTCTTCCAGGATACAATTACTCCGAAGAGTATCAGAAACAGTGATAGATAAGTGACGCTAAGTCCAGCGGCCACTGCATCAATCCAAATATGGCTGTAGCCATATTAAAGATCAAATTTAAACAACATATATACAGATCAGAAGCAAACACAAAAACTTCAATATAAGTACAAAATATAGAAATAATAACAATATACAATGATAAAATCTCAAATTGGAATCAAATAAAATACCAAAAATGTCAACAGAAAAAGTCCGTCATGTCATAGCAAAAATATGTAAACATGGAGGGATTTTCCAAAACACAAAACATTCAAAAAGGATTCTAAAAGTCTTGCACAACGAAGTGTAACATGCGAGATGGGTATTATGTTTTTCTCCTTCTAGATAACCTTATACACTTGGTATTTTTCTTACTGCGCTTTGCGAATACTGATATTGTGACCAATGAATCTTTTGGTACGCTAGTAATAAACTGTTGAGAGATAATTTTTTAAGCTATGTTATGGAAGTAAAGTGTTTTCGAAGTCTGGAACTTTCATCCAACGACAAAAGGCGTTCATCAAGAGACGTGATATCTGTCTCGATAGATCATTAAGGCCAAAGAAACGGCAAATATGAGGTCACTACTAATATAATTGATCATCTCTCTCAGTGAGAACCATGATAAGAAATTTGAAATAAATCTCTTTCTCTCTTAGACAGTTTCGGGCTATCTTACAGTACTGTTGGTTAGCGACAAAAAACAATTGGTTCATTTTCTTTACTCCGCACGAATTCAGACCAACCAGCGACATTTTTCGTAGCATTTTTCTGTATAAGATCTTTCCCAAAGATCACTCCAAATATATCGAAAGTATAAAATAGTTACAAGTCGTGGTGTAAACAGTCATGCAAACTTCACGAATAATCCAAAGCGGTTAATTGAGGCAAATACTTTCCGCGATTGCGTATCCACAGAAGTATGCAAAGAATAAAACACAAAGCTACATTACCCCTTTGAACACATCCGAAGATAAACTTTTCAAAGTCATCAACCTGGTTAGTGCAGTAACTTACTTCCTTACGCCTGTTACCTCAGATGGAGCACTGACCGCTAACCAGCATTCTCCAAACTATTCTTTCCTAGGCCTTCTTTTCCACTTCATTCCAGTTACTATTCATTCTTTTCAGGGTTGTCTGTAATTCTGGGCTTAATGTGTTCTTCGGTTTTAATAATAATAATTTATTCTCAAATAACAGCGTGTTACAACAGTCATGCCAATTTACTGACAGGATCAAAATGTTAAAATTGGTAATATATTTTCTGCCAAAGGATGTTCATTTAGATTACTATTTCACAAGATATACTGACCTTTTAGAGAGGGCTGATATATTTCAAATAAAATTTGGAATTCGCAGTACAAAAGCTGCCGCAAGGTATGTTGAGAATTAATGCAAATTAAGACAAGGGCTGGATAAAACAGGGATTGATGAGGTGTGCGTTGATCTACTACAAAGAATTTGGCAGATTTTAATTTGACTGACTGCTGTGTAAAATGACTGCGAGTCTCCGAGAATATCAATGATAAAATCTCAAATTCGAATCAAATGAAATACCAAAAATGTCAACAGAAAAAGTCCGTCATGTCATAGCAAAAATATGTAAACATGGAGGGATTTTCCAAAACACAAAACATTCAAAAAGGATTCTACACCGGCCCGCAAAATCCCTTCATGCAAAAAGCAAGCGTTAATGACACTTCTATTTAGGGTTCCCACTCATCCCCTAATCCACACCGGAAGAACGTGTAGGACTTACAGCAGTACGCCTACCCGCCATCCAACATAGATATGACCTATCGTGCTAACTAGGTACCTATACTTTCCCATCAGGCCCTTGATTCCCCTATCTATCGTGGCATGACCTAACGGTAGTATGAACCTTACCCTATTAACCCACACGAACATGTACAACACGTCGTAAAACTGGTCATATCCTATCCGGGAACTACATTCCCTATCATGGGGACGAGTCGCCAATCCACCACCACTTGCTCCGATCAGCAGATACAATGAAGTCCGTGATGCTAACTTATCAACAGGAATTCTTGACCCGTAGATAATATGCAAGGGTGGGATCTCCAATTTTGACATTTCATCGTCTCCAGAAGACTTTAAGTAGCATAACGTGGGATCAATATTTATCTCTCCATCTCCTGATACAGAGGAGGTTTGATCAGCATTCGTCATCGTCGGTAACTCATTTGTCACATCAGTGACATCCAGATTATTATCAACGTCATCATGATTCCGTTCTGCCAGACAAGTCGCGTCGATTCGGTCTATATTAGCATCCGTAGAGTGGAACTCTTCCATTGCTGTATAACTCATATCACTACATGAAAGAACAGCATTAGTATCGCAATTCGAAACTGATATACTCACTTGTTGTTCTTCATGTTCTGTTTCAGAGACACAAGACATATGCTCATCAATAGCATCGTCATCACACAACACTGTAGACTGGCTGTTACCATCAAACACTTTCTTCACATGATCACTCGACTGACAGTCAACCGGAATAGGAACAGTTACAGTTGCACAAGCTTGTGCATCTTCAATCAACTTAACATTCGTGACGAGGTCCGATGACGTCGAAACACTAGGAGGCTCATTCGATGAAGTTGATAAACTAGTCACTATAAGTGGACTACTGACACTTTCTGTCTCCTTATTATCGCTGTCACTACTAAGATTCTGATGGCTACTATTTCCATTGCTAGTCATAGCATCCGAAAGAGAATGAGGTTTAGGCTTCTTAATAATAATAATAATAATAATAATAATTTATTCTCAAATAACTAAGTTACAAGAGTCACGCCAGTTTACAGGCTAGATCAAATTGTCACAAATGCTTTTACAATTACTGTCAAAGTTATAGCAGTTAAATTAAGTATAAGAGACAG